TACCCTCACCCCTACCCCTCACCCTAACCCTACCCCTCACCCCTACCCCTCACCCCTCACCCTACCCCTACCCCTCACCCCTACCCCCTACCCCTCACCCCTACCCCTAACCCTAACCCTACCCCTACCCCTCACCCCTACCCCTACCCCTCACCCTCACCCTAACCCTACACAACAAAAGTGTTGCGTTTATATTTTTGTTCAGTGTATCTCTCTATCAGAGGGGGTCAGCTGAGCAACAAAACAAACGCTTCCAGAGCATCAGGATCAGGGGAAAAGTGCACTTGTTTACAGCAAGAAAAGAGCCCAAGATTATCTTAATATGAATGAAGAAGCATGCATTCAAAAATAAATACAAATTTACAAAACACACATAGCATTTGTTTTGCACAATTTAAAAGTACATAACAGATAATATATGATCAACAGAGCGGGAGGAGGACGCAGCATTATTTGGAGCCTCCAGCTCCACGCGTATCACTATATAAACACAAATGATAAACTAAAGGAGCCTGTGTGTGAATGGAAAAGGAAGAAGCCGTTATTAAACAGTAAACAAAGTGTCTTTCTGAAGCATTTAAAGAGGACAGTATTTGGTTATGAATATCTCAGGAATATCCCCGTTTGCACGCAAGTATTTTATAACTAAAAACACGTATTTAATAAACGTTAATGTCATCTGAAGCTTCTGAAATAAAGGAATAGATGAGATGTGTGATATCATTGTGATTGCCTGATGTGTTGCTTTTTAAAATGCATCAAGTCCTCATGATCAATCGGAAAGCTCCTGACTTCGATCAGTCAGTTCCTGATTCAAATCTCTAATGCTTGGACAGTTTTGGAACGGCGGCTTGTGTTTAGAAAGGTTAGACTTTTTGGTGAGATGAAAGGCTTGTGGTAGGAAAAAGCTCAAACTGAGAGGACACAGACTGAGCTCTGCTGGATGTGGAAATATGAACGCTTTTGTCAACGAGATTATGATTTAGCTCTTTCCACTTATACCACATTGTAATTGCGATCACAATTTCTGTCTTCCCGCGATGAAGTAATGCCTTTACGAAGCTCAGTGGGGGTTTCCTTTCTCTTGTGCTATTACCATTCATATAAACCCATAAAGTGTCCCACTAGTTTTCAAATATAACTTCTGCTATAATGAATATAATGACCTGATAATGAGCAGAACACATGTAGAAAGAACCAGAGATGGCAGCAGGTAAAACAAAAACATGTTGTGAAACTTACCTGTCATGTCCGCCTTCAGGGCCTCTGCCTGTCTGCTCGGATGTAAACAGAGAGGAGGTTAGACAGGTACACACACACACACACACACACACACACACACACACACACACACACACACACAGAGAGAGAGAGTATGTGACAACGCACAGGTGACTAACCGAGCAACCAGATAAACCTGACAAACAGCCACCATTTACATCCATTCTTTAAATAATGTAACATCTTATATCTTCTTATCATTCATCACATGTTTCAGTGTTGACATCGGGCTCGGGCTAATCCCTGGATCCAAAATGCGACGAAATAAAAACAAACAGCATCAACACATTCCTCACAAACCCGTCAGCTAGCTTATCAGACCCTCCACGTTTCAAAGCACGTTTACGACACGTACACACACCGCTAAATACGCTTAAAACGGTGTTAACTCACCTATAAATGACATGTGATGTCACAGCATCAGCTAACCTAAAGCTATCATACGCAGAAAGACAAGCTAAAGCTAACAACACAATGTCCCTCCGAAGCGGCAAAAGTGTCTTTATATCAACAAAAACGGCAGATAGCAGACATTTAGTGTGAATAAAACGCCACCCACTTGTATGAACATGACATGTATTTGATTAGAGGTTAGAAGAGGGATGGCGGGCTGCAGCATCGATTGTTTGTTGATATCTGAAGCTAGCTCATGGGTGTATAAAGAGAGAGAGGCGGAGCATGAAGACAATAATAGAGCGACTGGAGATACAGAAAGTACCCGTATGTGGGCTCACTGAGCATGCGCAGTTGAATTTTCCCCACCTATCTCCCGCTCTCTGGCAGTCAGACGAATGCAGTTCAATTAAATGAAGCAAAACATATTATATATTCATAAAACAGAATATTAATTTAAAATAGATGTCTCTCTTCCAATGTAAGTCAATGGGGGGGAAGTCTATTTGGGGCCAGAATGACGTCACGGCTGTAGTACCACCGTTTGGCCGCTACGGATATTCCAAATATGGGCTTCACCGGCCGGCGCACTTCCTGAGGGTTTGAGCTAAAGCTAGGTTAGCCGTTAGCTTTAGCGTTAGCAGCAGAACAAAACAATCCGGGATCAAAGGTCCAGTTCCGACCGCACCGGGACCGGCAGGAGGACCGGAGGAGAACCGGAAGAGGACCAGAGGAGAACTTACCGTAGATACTGGGCGCAGAGGTTCATCCTGCCGGATCTCCGGTCCTTCAGATAACAACTGGTCCCGAAGCTAACGCTGCTCCCGGCGCCATCTTGTTCCTGTCTGACCCACACAGAGGGGGAGGGAGGGGGGTTCAGGATGGGGGGGGGGTAGATGTTAATTGTAATAGGGGGGTTAGTTGTTTTTGTATAGAAGAGGATTAGGGCAATATGAGAAAAACATGTTTGGGGTGTGAACAAAGGTTTAAAAAAAATGTAGTTCTGATTTTTAATTAATTCTTTAATGAATGTATTTATTTACCAGGGACAGTGCACAGTAATGAACACTTAAAACATTCACATGTCAAGCCATGTATCTCAGGAATTTTATTTTCAGAATCCTGACTTTTTAGATATGTTTTTGACTGATTATTTAACATCTGACTTTTTATAAAAAAATCTGAGATTTGTGACTTTTTTCTTCTGCTTTTTTAAAGATTTTTGCAGAATTTTAACCTTTTCAGAATTTATAATTTTTCTGAGAAGTTCGGACTTTTTCTTAAGATTTCTGACATGTTAGCACTGCAGACATGTTCTGTAAAAAAAAAAATGTTTTTCTTCAAATTCAGTTTTTTTCTTCAGTTTTCGGTTTGAATTTCAGAAAAAAGTCAGAATTCACTGATTTTTTTCTCAGAATTCTGATTTTTTTCTCAGATTTGTGACCTTTTTACCAGAATCTTTGTCCTTTTTTTAATACTGACTTTCCTCAGAATTCAGACTTTTTTCTTTAAGTCGTTGGGCGACGTGGGGAGGTGTGCTATTTCCTAACCTAACTAAAAACACCTGAACTTTGAACATCCACAACATTCATCTGGCTGCTACTTAGAAATTATTGATCTAATATATCATATTCCAATCACTTGTATATAGACTCTTATTGCACTATTTCACTTTTTTTAAACTAGATTTTCATTGTCATAACTATATGGCCAATAAAAGCCTTGAACCTTGAATTCAGACTTTTTCAGAAAAATGTGTTCTGACTTTAATCTCAGAATAAATATTTATTTTTGGAATTGTTTACTTTGTATTCAAATGTATACTCCACAAAAATGTATCCTATTACAATTATTTGAATCAAGGTCCAGTTTCATTAATTTACATCAATCAATCAATCAATTGTGGCATCAATTTGCATTCCACGTTAGTGTGCGTGTGTGTGTATGTTTTCTTAATTTGCATATAATACTTTAATGTCCCCTATTTATGGGCTTAAACACTTAGCTACTAAAACAGCACAATATAAAATATGAAATATGTCTTATCCCTGTGTCTGTGTGCGTGTATGTGTGTGTGTCTTTAGCACTGCTTCCTGCCGACACACCTCTCTCTCTCTCTCTCTCTCTCTCTCTCTCTCTCTCTCTCTCTCTCTCTCTCTCTCTCTCTCTCTCTCTCTCTCTCTCTCTCTCTCTCTCTCTCTCTCTCTCTGCAACCAACGAAACCTCGGTAACACCGAGAGCAGGACCGGGACCGGGACTTTACCGGGACACACGGGAACTCGCACCAGAGGAAGAGAAGAAGAAGACGAGGAGACAAAATGACAGAAAACAACAAAACCCACGTCATCCTGCTGTCCTGCGGCAGCTTCAACCCCATCACCAAGGGACACATCCATATGTTTGGTGAGCATCTGTGCGTGTGTGTGTGTGTGTGTTTATACATCACCAGAAACAATAAGGGGAGGGGGGGGGGGGGGGGGTGTTTATACAAGATGTCCATTACCTAAAACCTCCATAAAATTATCTACATTTCAATAAAATCCACGAGGAAATGAAGGAGTTGTGTCGGAGCTGTCCAGCGACATGGTGCTGAAATGGGCGACGGCTCCACACAACGGGATAATGTAACCACAACAAACAGAGAACAGGATACAAACGCTAATATTATAATGTAACCCGGTCTATATCAACGTGAAGCTGCTTTAAGGAGGATAACAAGGTGGAAATGTCCCGGTTTGAGGCTCCGGAAGGCCTCGGGCGGCGTGTGGCGCAGCGCCGAAAACAAGGCTCCAAATCCCGGGTAGAAACACGATGAGAGCCCGCGGGGAGACATGGAGCTCCCGCGGGATTTGATAATGAGTCAGCCTTCATGAGGGAAAGTGAAACTGCGGGGGAAACACGTGTATATTCAGAGTTTGTGCGATGGTTGCAACCAAAACAGAGCTCCTATACTTCATGATGTATTATTATTATTATATACTCATTAATGGCATATCGTTGCAACTCAACTGCTAAAAAATATACAATGTCTCAGAACAATAAGTATTGTTTATATCCTCTATGCTTTACTGTTTGCTTTTCTGTTTGTATTTTACATTTATTTAATGAATGATCTTTTACTTGGATATTTAATATTTACATGTTCACTATATATTGTATTTATTTGTTATTGAATTTGGTTATATTATATTTATTACAGTTTTCTTTAGTTTTACAGTATTATCTGTATTACTATCTCTACATCTCAGGTGTTTGCCTGCATTACCCGCCTGTGGGAATTTAAACTTTAAAACTGAAAACTAAAGAAAATTAAACATTTATTATATGTTTTTACACTTTAAACCTCCTGACATTTGATTCATATTGACCCTATAATAAACAGACAGAGCTTACAATACACAACCAGCACTGAACATGATCAGAGAGCTGATTTAGGCCCCGGCCACACGGAGACGAAAACGATAGTAGTCGATATCAAAAAAGTCTTCCGTCCACACGAGACCGCTCGACCCGCTGGAGACGCTGTAGTACATATGCAGGGCCTGTAAGTGGCGCCACAAAAAACACCAAAAGCAGTGAATAAGACTCCCGAGCATGGTTGCCATGGTTGCCTGGTTTCCATGGTTGCCCTTCTGGTTATTCTCCGCGGTGGATTTAGCAACATGTAGTTAATGTAGTTCTCCAGGTCCACTTGTTGCTGATGGTAGCGGTCGAGGAGCTGTAGATGTTGCACTAACATCTGTAGCACGGTCAGTAGCGTCTGGAGCACGAACGCAACCCTGTGATCCGCCGTGGTTGTTGTTGTTGTTGTTGACGAAACGCATCAGCACTGACGAGGGTGACGCGGGGTGAGCAGCAGAGGTGGGGAGAGGCGGGGCTACGATAGGAAGAAAAACCAAATGAGAAACACGAGAGAATAAAACCTTATAGCCACAGACTGAAATACTTCTTCTACTGAAGCCAGTCCCCAACTCCGGGGACTTCCGGCCGGGGCCTCCGGGTGGCAGTATACGTGTGAAGTGGTTTGCGGCCTGCCAGTAAACCCAAAGCAGAAGAAGAAGAAGTGACGTCAGCGGCCTAATCCTCCCTCAGGGACTTTTTCCGGTGTGAACGCGATCTGTACTTAGTTCATGGGGCACTAAGTACTAAGTACTAAGTACTAAGTACTAAAGTACTTGGTGTGAAAGTGGCTATTGTTACTCTACCTATTTATCTATAAGGTGAATATTTGTTAACCTACTTTCGAGACGTGCTCTGATAGAATAACTGGATGCTGTTGGAAAACCCCAATAAACAAAGTTTTAAAAAAAGAAATAGTGCAAGGAGAGTCTGTAAGTCATGGGGCTCTCTTCTGGAACTGCTACCAATCAATACCGTTCATCATTACACACTCTGCTATAACATGTGCAATATCATCGTTATTAATAACGTGCCATTTCTTATCTGCCTCTACGTTTCCTTTGCACTAAATACTGTTAGCATTCAGAGACAGAACCAGGTTTATCACCAGGGGGTCGACACGCACCAGGAATCTCACTTGGAGTCGTATGCATACATCAAAGTAAAACAAATGTGAAAAAACACAGAGAACTAGAAAAATAATAAAATATAACATTATTTACATAGAAATGGAATAGAATAAAAAGAATACATTTACTTAATGATGTGACCGTCTGTGTTTCCTGCAGTTATGCTGCTCTTCTTTCTGCTCTGTTTGATTATCCTGCTGCTGTGTTTGTTGTCTTTTTGTAGCTCTGGCCATTTCCTTTGAGATGAATAAAGTCTTATCTTACCTTCACGACCCGCAGATGCTAACCCCTGATTATTGTCAAAGCCAATTATTTTGTTGATTACTTTCTTGATTCAAAAAAATATGTTTCTTTGTCTTTAAATGTGAGAAAAGTGTGAGAAAAGGTGAATCCTCCTGATCAGCGGTGAGACGGAGGAGTTCAGTTCAGGACCTGTAGCTGTGTTGGGTCTTCCAGTTCTCCTCATGAGTCACATTGTAACCCTGACATGTTGTGTGTCTGCAGAGAAAGCTCGAGAGTATCTGCACAAATCCGGACACTTCATCGTGATTGGAGGAATCATTTCGCCGGTGCACGACTCCTACGGGAAGCCGGTGAGTCCTGAGAATACAACTACTATTATTTAATGAAGACGAGTAAAAAAAAAAACACATTTTATGTCAGAGAATATTTAAGATTTCTCTCTGACAGCTTATTTTTATTATTTAGAATGATTCGGTTTTTCTCAGTTTAAAAAGTTTACAAAAGAATATTTTTTTTTTTTTTTCTATATTTTCCTGTAGATTTACTTTCAGGAAATATTACATTTATTCTCCAAATGTCACTTTCTTCTCATTTGAAATGTTCTGAAATTCCTGGGAAACGTACTTGGTGTGAAAGCGCCTATTGAGGTTTGTGAAGCTGACCGTTGAGCGGCCCAGACCAAGCAAGGAGGCAGAACGCTAGTGATGGCAGTTTGACACTGAAGCTTCGAACGGAGCTTCAACCCTGGACTTCCTATTCCATAGAAGCAGTGCTTCGAAGCTTGCTTCAAATCACGTGACATGTGACGTCCGAAGCAGCAACTGCTTCATTTCCTGAATGAATCACTTGACTGGTTCACGGTCCATTCACGCGATTCAATGCACTGCCTCGTCTCGATTCTGACAGGTGACAGGTTGAAACAGTTTCAAACTTGAGTGCTTCAACACTTTATGACCGCTCTAAACAATGCACAATGTGTGGGTTGTTGTCGTACTTTGCGTTGTTGCTGTTGAGTTGTTGTTGGTATTGCATTTGATATCATTATAGAGCAAGCCAGGAAGTAAGATAGGTCGTTCTGGGAAACACTTCGAAATGTGGAGAAGTTGTGAACAAAAAGACAATTATCAGTAATATAAAAACAGTTCAATATTTCAAGGAATAGATAGATGTACCCAGTGGGTACAGCCGGCGGCCCGAATGCGGCGATGTCCTCCGCGCAGCGATGTCCTCCGCTGGTTCAAATCCCGGAATGGACGTATTTTAATCATTGCTTTTCAACTTTAATAACTGATAAAAGGCCCAAAAACATGTCTAACACTCTCTAGTCTCTTCTCAATAACCCAATACACACAATTATCAATCTTTAATTGCAAATAGAACATGATATTCAGTGTTAAGTGTGTGTGTGTGCATCGAATAGTTTTCAAGGCAAAGATACGTTAAACCCACTGCAGCCTTGCACTTCGCCAGGAGAGGTCGCTGTAACTGAAGCTTCGAGAAATGAACCTATTTCCGACACAATTGTCCAAGTGGTTCGACGCTTCATTCAAAGCTTCATTTTGCCATCACTACAGAACGGTGTGGGCATTTATTACATCATGAACATATGACACAGCCTCAATCTGCTGTCCACGTGAACACAGTCACCAGGATCTCTCACACACTACCAGCCAATCAGACAACAGAGCCTAAATACCCACACACTGATCAGCAATTAGACACAGGTGGGGGGGGGGGGGGGAGGAGCAAACACAGGACCAGGTGAACACAATCAGGAAGTAACAGACAAGGGGAAACACTTTTCAAATAAAACCACATGTGCAATAGTACAAGGCCCGAAGCCGTCAGTCCACAGTGACGAAGTTACAAGGTTACACAAATAATATTTGTCTTTATCTTTTTATTAATGTAAAATTATAATATTATAAACCCGGAGAATATCCAGGATTTCTCTCAGAAATGTAAAGACCCTGAGAAACCAAGCTGACACCAACGAACACGTCCCGACGGACCCGACTGTTGCGTCGCCTCACGTCTCTGCGTCGTGGCCAACAGTCGCTCCGGAACACACCGACTTCAGCCGACGGCCAAGTAGCACGTACGCACTGCGCATGCGTGAGTGGCAATACCTCTCCTTACCAGCAGGCGGCGGGAGTGTGTATTCTTCATTCAAAAGAGGCAACCGGAAGACAGACGGCGTGATATATGCAAACAACAAATAGCGTGCGTTCCATTTTCCCTCTCGTCCATCAGACGGTTTCACATAACGACTAATAATCTAAAACATGTTTAGTGCGGGACTGGAAAAAGAAAAAGAATAGCCGTCTGTGTGTGCCTTCTTCACTTCCGTTTCGCTTCTCATGAACTGATTCGCTAGCTGAACAGCCAATCAGAGTGATTTCCTTGGCTGACAGCGGAAGGTGTCTGAGTAGGGCGACCGGACGCTCATCGACGGCCAGACCTCTATCGCCGGACTAAACCGGCTCGGTGTGTCCGGGCCTTTAGATTTTTATTTGTGTGTGATCAAGATTTTGTTGTGATTTTTAAATTTGATTTATTTTTATAAATCTCAGGATATATTTGTTTATCTCTCATATAGTTATAAATATAAAATCTCATTTATTAACTCATTTTTCTCCTTGTAAATTTACCATTTTACTTTTTAGGGAGTATAATCTTTTCTCGTTAATGTACGTCTCTATAATAACGCCAGAAAGATTCCTTTGAAAGATTATTGATTTTATTTTTTAAACGTACGATTTTCTAAGACCAGATGATATTACAAGCTTTTTGTCCATTTATGATTTAATTTTTTTATTAATGTAGTGTATTCATCTCAGAGAATAGGCTTTTTGTTTTAAATAAATGTATAATACAACTCAAGTTTAGTTCCCCTTTAAGTCACTTTTTCTTTCTCTTATATTCATGTTGTTATCTTAAAGAATATTTGAGTTTTTTATGATGAATATAATTTACCCACAATGTCCGTGCTCTAAATAAAGTCTTATTTTCTGAGCATCAGTGTAATATTTAACGTGAGCAGCATGAAGTGTTTCTCATGTTCAGTCCCAGATAATAATATAATATGATATAATATAATATAATAAGCCCAGCAGCAGACTTCTGTGTTTTAATGAAGCTGTCCTACTTTCTCTGAGACGCTCCATGAATAATAAATGCTGCATCAGGAGTGTGTGTGCAGCGTGACGCAGATCTGACCTCGTTAAAGAGTCTACACACACACACACACACACACACACACACACACACACACACACACACACACACACACACACACACACACACACACACACACACACACACACACACACACACACACACACACACACACACACAACACACACACACACACACACACACACAGACACACACACACACACACACACACACACACACACACACACACACACACACACACACACACACAGACAGACACACAGACAGACACACACACAATACAATATTCTGAGTAAGCCTTCTGTAGTTTACAATGAAATCACAAACCAAACATACATATGTGTGGATAATACAGAGGCCTTCAAACATTACATTCATGTTTTATAATCTTAAAGAACATTTGAGTTTTTATGATGAATATTAGATTTTATCTTAATTTACATATTTTTTACTTAATCCACTTATGCTTTTATTTCTGTGTGTCTGTGTGTGTGTGTGTGTGTGTGTGTGTATGTGTGTGTCTGTGTGTGTGTATGTGTGTCTGTCTGTGTGCGTGTCTGTGTGTGTATGTGTGTCTGTGTGTGTGTGTGTGTGTGTGTGTGTGTGTGTGTGTCTGTCTGTGTGTGTGTCTGTGTGTGTCTGTGTGTGTATGTGTGTCTGTGTGTGTGTCTGTGTGTGTGTGTGTGTGTGTGTGTGTGTCTGTGTGTGTGTGTGTGTGTGTGTGTGTGTGTGTGTGTCTGTGTGTGTGTATGTGTGTCTGTCTGTGTGTGTGTGTCTGTGTGTGTCTGTGTGTGTATGTGTGTCTGTGTGTGTGTCTGTGTCTGTGTGTGTGTGTGTGTGTGTGTGTGTGTGTGTGTGTGTGTGTGTGTGTGTGTGTGTGTGTGTGTGTGTGTGTAGGGTTTAGTGCCCAGCAGACATCGTCTCACCATGTGTCAGCTGGCCGTGCAGTCCTCTGATTGGATCAGGTGAGAATATACCTTTACTCTGCTCATACTATACATATATTATATCATATATATATATATATATATATATATATATACAGTAAATGCCCATGCGGCATCCTCACTGAGAGTCATTCACATCAAAGTCTGTAAAAACCTAAAAACATGAAGAACTCAGAATAAGAAGAGTCTAAGAAATAAACAAAATGGCATTTTAATGGTTTCTGAAATATAATAGATATTTATTGATAGTTGTGTAGCTGTGACTTTAATGCAGTGTTGTGTGTTTGTTGCAGGGTGGACCCCTGGGAGTGTTACCAGGACACCTGGCAGACCACCTGCAGCGTGCTGGAGCATCACCGAGACCTCATGAAGGTACAGGAACATACATTATATATATATATATATATTTAAGCAATAGCTCACGACAGGCTGTGGTATATGCTCATTATATCACAGCTAAGGGGCGTGGCAGTATGAAAGAAAAATACACACTCTAATTTAAATAGTTTTTATTAGTAAATAATGATGTTCAAAATAAAATAGTCCCTCCGTTGCCTTCTGCACGAAACATAGTGCGAGGTGGTTGCTATGCAACAACTCTAACAGCTGGCGAACATATTAGACAGAGAGCGTTGATCCATTATCTGGCTCTTTATTCACATTCATGTGTATGTTGCCGTTTATTGTGCAGCCACTGAAACCTGTCCAGCATCAGCAGCATGGCTTACGAGGTCACTTGGATAGGTTGAGGTTGTTCTAGGCTGATGCTTGGCGTGGTCAGAATATTGCTCCACTTTCTCCGGTCCCCGAGATTCAGCTTCCAGCAGCTCTGGAGAGAGCTTTCGCACCTGTGGCCACTAACGCTCATCATGTATCTGCTTTGGTTCAAGACCCGCATCAGAAAGCTTTTGAATGGTGGCACTTCTCCAGTTGGTCTGCTCTTCACGTAGCTCTGCATGTCGTCGTTTAGGTGCTTTTTTTTCTTTCTGGAGATAGGCACTGCTCAATCCACTCCTCCATAGTGAGACCCCCCCGGAGGTCGAAGTTAATCTTAAATGTTTCCATCTTATGCTTTGTAAGTTTGTTTCGTAATGGAAGAAATGGAAATATATAAAACTGACAAGTCAAATCAAGCAATCTGATTGGTCGATAGTGTTTTTGCGGACCTCTTTGATTACAGATTTGAAAACATCGTTGCTTGCTTTAAAAGTAGCACAATTCATTGTGTCAGACCTTGGAAAGTATCTAGATATCCTGCCCTAATGCCAAAGGAACTGCACACTGAATAGGCCTGTGTTTTGCCGTCTGATGTCTATGTCTGGACCGCTGCGTAAAAAGGAGGGTTTCTGCCCCGTTACTTCTCCGCTGCTTTCTTGTTCCAGTCTGAAAAGCAAACTGCATGCAGTTTGCTTTTCAGCCCAACGGTATACTGTTGTACTCAGACGCGGAGGGATACTGACTTGTTGTGAAAAGTAATTTCCAATTCTACCCGTGGTATACGCTCAGTATATCACGGCTAAGAACCAATCAGATTGCTTGATTTGACTTGTCCGTTTTATAAACACACACATATATATATATATATATATATATATATATATATATATATATATACATATATATCAGGGATTTAATGACTGCAGCAGTGGAGAGGTCTTCTATGGTGCGTTCACACCGGAGGATTCTCATCGCTCGACCTCGGCATCATGGGTTTTAACCTATATACAGTCTATGGTTTTAACTCACGTCACTCAAACAAGGCACGATACCAACAACGAAATGAACATATTTTTATGATTAAATTGTACTACACGTATCAAATTGATACATTTGTAGAAATAACTACATATTGGACCGGTTTGTAAATACCATGAACCAGTGGCGGTTCTAGAACATTTGACATGGGGGGGCAAAGGGGGGGCAAGAGGTCATGCCAGGGTGGCATGGGAGGGCGGACAGTACGTGGTATTTGATACTGTATATAACCTATTTATTGTTAATTCATGCCCTAACACAAGTGTTCTTAATGCACAAGAGAAACAAGGTGTTCAGACAAACAATCGGGTGCCCTTTGAGTCCCCCAAGCTTACCTCAACCATTTTAAATGAAAGGAAACTACAAAATGTATTTTAAAGCAATTAATTAATGGAACAGGTTGTTTTGCATTACAATGTCAAATTAAATATATATTTTGTTTAAAAAAAATTGGTTGTCTTAGTATTAGACAGACATATTTGTATGTCCTCACTAAGCATTATTACATATTAAATTAATATTAAACAAATCAAAATGGCCAATTATCCCAAAATGTTGCTGCTAATATAATCATATGCTTGTCAACTTTAACTGATCAAAAATAAATTCTGAAAAAATACTTGAATTATCTATGAAATTGCAATATTGTCCCTCAGTTTGTTTCAACCCCGTCACGCCAAACCATTTACCCTCCTATTAAAATAATGGATCAGTCCATGTGTGGATCAGTCCGTGTGTGGATCAGTCCGTGTGTGGATCAGTCCGTGTGTGGATCAGTCCATGTGTGGATCAGTCCGTGTGTGGATCAGTCCATGTGTGGATCAGTCCGTGTGTGGATCAGTCCGTGTGTGGATCAGTCCGTGTGTGGATCAGTCCGTGTGTGGATCAGTCCGTGTGTGGATCAGTCCGTGTGTGGATCAGTCCGTGTGTGGATCAGTCCGTGTGTGGATCAGTCCGTGTGTGGATCAGTCCGTGTGTGGATCAGTCCGTGTGTGGATCAGTCCGTGTGTGGATCAGTCCGTGTGTGGATCAGTCCGTGTGTGGATCAGTCCATGTGTGGATCAGTCCATGTGTGGATCAGTCCGTGTGTGGATCAGTCCGTGTGTGGATCAGTCCATGTGTGGATCAGTCCATGTGTGGATCAGTCCATGTGTGGATCAGTCCATGTGTGATCTGCATTCAGGGAATTACATCACAAAAGTGTTTCTTCTCTTACCTATATTTCAGTTTTTGTATTTTCAGATTAAGATTGACAAGCTCAACATTTCAACTCTGTTATATGAATTAATAATAGTAAATAATTGTTTATTACAAAAATAAACAATAGTTTTGCAAAATATTACAATGTTGTAATGTCCTTGACTTCCATGTGGTGCCATATCTTAGCTAAACAAGGTCTCATGGCTAGTTTTTGTCAAAAACTTCAACCCTGTTACATTTTTTCAAGGAAATTCCAAGTAATTATTTATATTTTGTGCCTGAGGTGGAAAATGTAAGTAGTCCACTACCAGATGTTATGACCAAACATTTTGGTTTAATTTTTCAAAGATATAAAGACCCAAAAGGCACCCAATTCAGAGAATACTCTAATTCTGCATACTGTAAGTACTTAATTATAATTAAGTACACAAATGACATCACCACCATCTCTTCAGAGAGCTACAGGTGACGTGTGCAGCAACACATTTCAATCAATAATTGTCAATACTAAGAGCTGCTAGATTGAGCTGCTGTAATGGAATATGTAAGAAGAATAAGAACATACCATGTGGTCCAGCTGGAGTCTCCTCTGCCTCCTGATCCCTGCCTCTGGCCCTCTTTCTGACACTTCATCTTTATTCCTCACATATATTTCTTCTTCTTCACTAATGTCTTCATCTCCTCCTCTTCCTCCTGCTCTGACCCTCCTGGTCTCTTCATCTCCTCCTAGCTTCCTCCTGCTCTGACCCTCCTGGTCTCTTCAGTGAACTCTCTTTTCCTTTTCCTCTTTCTGTTCGTCCTGATCTCTACTCAGATATGTCTTTGTGTTGTTGTTGAATCACTCCTATACTCTGGCCTGCAAGAGTCTACTTGTGAAAAGCACTGGTACAAATGCTTGTATAACTTTACGCGTTAGGGCCATGTAGCCTAGCTAATATGTAGCATATCATATAACATCAGAAAGTATTGATCAAGCGCACACAGGCAGCTGTGTTTGGATCCAGTTTTTACGGTAAAGGATGTATCCTGGTTTCATTGATCTGGCCTCATTGCTGTGATGTGTAGTTTACGTGGATTTAATAGTAGGCTACAGCGTAGTTTAGCAAAGTGATCGATCTCCCAGCTAACGCTGTCTGTGTAGTATTTTGTAACGTAACGCCCCAAACAGCACCCGTCTGTTAAATGCTATCGATTCAAACGGCAGCATTTTATTCATATTTAGTTTCAAGCTCTCGTCCTTAGTAAAAACAAAACTAGTGGAAAGGGAAATGCTCCCAGGGGAAGCTGATCCATAGGTGCTGGGACAGCTCGCTCCCTCTCTGCAGCGGTGTGAGCCGCGGTCTGTGTGAGCCGCGGTCTGTGTGAACGCCGCTCCGCAGTTTAATGCAGGGCCGTAGCTGCCCCCCCTTGCCCCCCGTAGATCCGCCCCTGCCATGAACTAATGCTTTGGAGAGTGTGTCCACAAGATGGCAGCAAAACACTTGAAGCTCCGCACTCACTGTAACGTCCTACAGAAGTGAAGAGTGTGTTCTCCACAGACAGTCTGTGGTTTGTACAGATATGAGGAGCTGTGAGCTCTGCGTGCTAACGGCTAACAGCTAATGGCTAACAACTAATTAGCTGTGATTGGCTTTCAGAGACAGCGTCATGCTAATTTATCGCTCGAGTTGAAAACATTTAACTTTAAGTGTTTCCGCGTCATTCGCTCTGTTCTCTTTCGGGTGATCGTCCACGCCAACAACTCGCTTCGTCTCCGATGTGAACGTACCTTAAAGGTGGGGTAGGTAAGTTTGAGAAACCGGCTCGAGATACACTTGTTTTTATATTCCATGGAATGCTCTTAACATGCCGATAGCAATGAATATCTGAAGTGCTTTGACAACAAATCCATAAAAAAAGTCATCTGTGGAAGCCGTGGTGCTGTAGAAAGCACGACCAATCATCTGAGCCGGCTAAAGTAACTGGATGGCCTACCTGCCTGTCAGGAGGGGCTCTGTAAGGAAGTGGCAGATTTTTTGCGGTTGTGTATTTTCAAATTCTAGCACTCGAGCTGGTTTCTCTGAAATGACCTACCCACCTTTAAGTGTCTTTCTGTGTTTGTTTTGATCCTGATGATCTCTGGTTCCTCAGAGAGTCACCGGCTGCATCCTGTCCAACGTCAACACGCCGTCCTCGACTCCTGTGATTGGCCAGCCTCAGAACCAGACTCCGCCCCCTATCTACCAGAACCAGAACAACATGAACAACAAGCCCACAGCCAGTGAGTGTTCTGGAAGTAATATGGTCTGTGTTTACATTAGCATGCTAACACTCAGAGCTAACCTGTACTGGAGAGAGAGTGTGTGAAGAAGCAGGAAATCAAAAGGAAGTCACCTTGTGGTAAACCTGAGAGAGAGAAAGAGTTTGAGCTCCATCCTGTTTCAGAGAGAATCCTTGATGTGGTTTGGAACATGATGTGGAGTTTCATCACGGCAGCATTTAGCTGAGTTTCTGCTGGGAGAGTTCTCCTGATGAGATCTACTCTCTCTCTGAAGCTACTGACCCAGAGTCAGCTCTTTAGGAACAGCTGGAAGAGAGGGGGGGGGGGGCTACAAGGACCTGATTGGGGTTTGGAGCAGGACACTTCAGAGACATGTCCTTAGTAACAGCTGGAGGAGAGGAGGGGGGGGCTACAAGGACCTGATTGGGGTTTGGAGCAGGACACATCAGAGACATGTCCTTAGTAACAGCTGGAGGAGAGGGGGGGGGGGGGGGGCTACAAGGATCTGTTTGGGGTTTGGAGCAGGACACTTCAGAGACATGTCCTTAGTAACAGCTGGAAGAGAGGGGGGGGGGGGGCTACAAGGATCTGTTTGGGGTTTGGAGCAGGACACTTCAGAGACATGTCCTTAGTAACAGCTGGAAGAGGGGGGGGGGGGCTGCAAGGACCTGATTGGGGTTTGGAGCAGCACACATCAGAGACATGTCCTTAGTAACAGCTGGAAGAGAGGGGGTGGGGCTACAAGGATCTGATTGGGGTTTGGAGCAGGACACATCAGAGACATATCCTTAGTAACAGCTGGAAGAGAGGGGGGGGGGGCTACAAGGATCTGATTGGGGTTTGGAGCAGGATACTTCAGAGACATGTCCTTAGTAACAGCTGGAAGAGAGAGGGGGGGGCTACAAGGATCTGATTGGGGTTTGGAGCAGGACACTTCAGAGACATGTCCTTAGTAACAGCTGGAAGAGAGGGGGGGACTACAAGGATCTGTTTGGGGTTTGGAGCAGGACACTTCAGAGACATGTCCTTAGTAACAGCTGGAAGAGAGGGGGGGGCTACAAGGATCTGTTTGGGGTTTGGAGCAGGACACTTCAGAGACATGTCCTTAGTAACAGCTGGAAGAGAGGGGGGGGCTACAAGGATCTGATTGGGGTTTGGAGCAGGACACTTCAGAGACATGTCCTTATTAACAGCTGGAAGAGAGGGGGGGGGCTACAAGGACCTGTCTGGGGTTTGGAGCAGGACACTTCAGAGTCATGTCCTTAGTAACAGCTGGAAGAGAGGGGGGGGCTACAAGGATCTGATTGGGGTTTGGAGCAGGACACTTCAGAGACATGTCCTTAGTAACAGCTGGAAGAGAGGGGGGGGGGGGGGGCTACAAGGATCTGTTTCGGGTTTGGAGCAGGACACTTCAGAGACATGTCCTTAGTAACAGCTGGAAGAGAGGGGGGGGGGGGGGCTACAAGGATCTGATTGGGGTTTGGAGCAGGACACTTCAGAGACATGTCCTTAGTAACAGCTGGAAGAGAGGGGGGGGGGGGGGCTACAAGGACCTGATTGGGGTTTGGAGCAGGACACTTCAGAGACATGTCCTTAGTAACAGCTGGAAGAGAGGGGGGGGGGGGCTACAAGGATCTGGGGGATGAGGATTATATATTATAATATAGGCCTAAAAATAGTAATGAGAGTCTGAACTTGTCTCTGTCTCAGTCAAACTGTGGGGGAAGGTGAGTGAGAACCTGGGGAAGATCTGCTGCGTTCGCCCTCACATCGACCGCTTCACCTTCATCGGTAAGTCAGAAACATCTCACCGACCAGTTTGAGTTTAACATCTCATCAGCATCCGTCCTTTCTCCAACCCCGTTCAGATTTAACCACGCCCACTTCCACGAAACATCAACACCGCGTTCTCATCCTGAATCTGAGCTACAGTCGCTTCATACAGCATCTTTCTAAGAGCAGCGTGTATTACTCATGGAAGACGATCACAGTTATGCAGAGCTCATGAATCTGATGAACATATTCAATATATTTACATGTATGTGTGCCGGTAAAAGGTTATTGAGAAAACAGTGTATATTTTATGTACAGTACTTTATGTGTTATATAGCCCAATATCACAAATTTACATATCAGGGGGCTTAACAGTCTGGAAAAAGTCCCAAAGAAACCCCCCAGTTAATGGAAGAACCCCCCCAGTTAATGGAGAAACCCCCCAGTTAATGGAAGAACCCCCCAGTTAATGGAAGAACCCCCCCAGTTAATGGAGAAACCCCCCAGTTAATGAGAGAAACCCCCAGTTAATGGAAGAAACCTCCCAGTTAATGGAAGAAACCTCCCAGTTAATGAGAGAAACCCCCCAGTTAATGGAAGAAACCCCCCAGTTAATGGAAGAAACCTCCCAGTTAATGGAGAAACCCCCAGTTAATGAGAGAAACCCCCCAGTTAATGAGAGAAACCCCCCAGTTAATGAGAAACCTCCCAGTTAATGAGAGAAACCCCCAGTTAATGAGAGAAACCCCCCAGTTAATGAGAAACCCCCCAGTTAATGAGAGAAACCCCCAGTTAAAGAGAAACCCCCAGTTAATGAGAGAAACCCCCAGTTGATGGAAGAAACCCCCCAGTTAATGGAAGAAACCCCTCAGTTAATGAGAGAAACCCCCAGTTAATGGAAGAAACCCCAAGTTAATGGAATAAACCCCCCAGTTAATGAGAGAAACCCCCAGTTAATGAGAGAAACCCCCAGTTAATGAGAGAAATCCCCCAGTTAATGAAAGAAACCCCCAGTTAATGAGAGAAACCCCCCAGTTAATGGAAGAAACCTCCCAGTTAATGGAAGAACCCCCAGTTAATGGAAGAAACCCCCAGTTAATGGAAGAAACCCCCAGTTAATGGAGAAACCCCCCAGTTAATGGAAGAAACCCCCAGTTAAAGAGAAACCCCCAGTTAATGAGAGAAACCCCCAGTTGATGGAAGAAACCCCCCAGTTAATGGAAGAAACCCCCCAGTTAATGAGAGAAACCCCCAGTTAATGAGAGAAACCCCCAGTTAATGGAAGAAACCCCCCAGTTAATGGAAGAAACCTCCCAGTTAATGGAGAAACCCCCAGTTAATGGAAGAAACCCCCCAGTTAATGGAAGAAACCCCCCAGTTAATGAGAGAAACCCCCAGTTAATGAGAGAAACCCCCAGTTAATGGAAGAAATCCCCCAGTTAATGGAAGAAACCCCCATTTAATGAGAGAAACCCCCCAGTTAATGGAAGAAACCCCCCAGTTAATGGAAGAAACCTCCCAGTTAATGGAAGAACCCCCAGTTAATGGAAGAAACCCCCAGTTAATGGAGAAAACCCCCAGTTAATGGAAGAAACTCCCAGTTAATGGAAGAAACCCCCAGTTAATGAAGAAAACCTCCCAGTTAATGGAGGAACCCCCCAGTTAATGGAAGAAACCTCCCAGTTAATGAGAAACCCCCAGTTAATGGAAGAAACGCCCCAGTTAATGAAAAAAAAACCCAGTTAATGAGAGAAACCCCCAGTTAATGGAAGAAATCCCCCAGTTAATGGAAGAAACCCCCAGTTAATGGAAGAAACCCCCCAGTTAATGGAAGAAACCTCCCAGTTAATGAAGAAACCCCCCAGTTAATGGAAGAAACCTCCCAGTTAATGGAAGAAACCCCCAGTTAATGAGAGAAACCCCCAGTTAATGAAGAAAACCTCCCAGTTAATGGAAGAAACCCCCCAGTTAATGGAAGAAACCACCAGTTAATGGAAGAAACCCCCAGTTAATGAGAGAAACCCCCAGTTAATGAGAGAAACCCCCAGTTAATGGAAGAAATCCCCCAGTTAATGGAAGAAACCCCCAGTTAATGGAAGAAACCCACCAGTTAATGGAAGAAACCCCCCAGTTAATGGAAGAAACCCCCCAGTTAATGAGAGAAACCCCCAGTTAATGGAAGAAACCCCCAGTTAATGGAAGAAACCCCCAGTTAATGAGAGAACCCCCCAGTTAATGGAAGAAACCCCCAGTTGATGGAAGAAACCCCCCAGTTAATGGAAGAAACCCCCAGTTAATGAGAGAACCCCCAGTTAATGAGAGAAACCCCCCAGTTAATGAGAGAACCCCCCAGTTAATGAGAGAAACCCCCAGTTAATGAGAGAAACCCCCAGTTAATGAGAGAACCCCCAGTTAATGAGAGAACCCCCCAGTTAATGAGAGAAACCCCCAGTTAATGAGAGAAACCCCCAGTTAATGGGAGGAACCCCCAGTTAATGGAAGAACCCCCAGTTAATGAGAGAAACCCCCAGTTAATGAGAGAAACCCCCAGTTAATGGAAGAAAAACCCAGTTAATGGAAGAAACCCCCCAGTTAATGGAAGAAACCTCCCAGATAATGGAAGAACCCCCAGTTAATGGAAGAAACCCCCCAGTTAATGGAAGAAACCTCCCAGTTAATGGAGAAACCCCCAGTTAATGGAAGAAACCACCCAGTTAATGGAAGAAAAAAAAACCAGTTAATGAGAGAAACCCCCAGTTAATGAGAGAAACCCCCAGTTAATGGAGAAACCCCCAGTTAATGGAAGAAACCCCCAGTTAATGGAAGAAACCCACCAGTTAATGGAAGAAACCCCCAGTTAATGGAAGAAATCCCCCAGTTAATGAGAGAAACCCCCAGTTAATGGAAGAAATCCCCCAGTTAATGAGAGAAACCCCCAGTTAATGGAAGAAATCCCCCAGTTAATGGAAGAAACCCCCAGTTAATGGAAGAAACCCACCAGTTAATGGAAGAAACCCCCCAGTTAATGGGAGAAACCCCCAGTTAATGGAAGAAACCCCCCAGTTAATGGAAGAAACCCCCAGTTGATGGAAGAAACCCCCCAGTTAATGGAAGAAACCCCCAGTTAATGAGAGAACCCCCAGTTAATGGACGAAACCCCCCAGTTAATGAGAGAACCCCCCAGTTAATGAGAGAAACCCCCAGTTAATGGAAGAAACCCCCAGTTAATGGAAGAAACCCCCAGTTAATGGGAGGAACCCCCAGTTAATGGAAGAACCCCCCAGTTAATGGAAGAAACCCCCAGTTAATGGAAGAAACCCCCAGTTAATGGGAGAAAGCCCCAGTTAATGGAAGAACCCCCCAGTTAATGGAAGAACCCCCCAGTTAATGGGTAGAAATTGGAAGAAACCAACAGAGGAGGGATCCTGCAGACCTACGTTAATGTGTAAGTGGTTGCGGTTAAATCTAAACTGGGTTTGAACAACGACAAACGCCTCCCGATGTTGAGCTTCATCCCATATACATGTTTGCACTCTGAGGATTCGCTGATTCACGTTTCTGTCTCGTGTCTCAGATGAAAACGCTAACCTGGGGACGGTGATGAGATACGAGGAGATCGGTGAGTCGTCTCTTCAGGAAGTGAACCCTCAGTGTGGTGACTTCCTGTCTGAGCTCCTTCTGGTTTGTTTCCATCTGGTAAACATGTTGTTTACTGAGTAAACATGTGTTTGTTTACTGAGGTGTGTGTCTCTTTCCTCCCGCCTGTTTGTCGTCTGTAGAGTTACGCATCTTGCTCCTGTGTGGCAGTGATCTCCTGGATTCCTTCTGCATCCCTGGCCTGTGGAAGGACAGTGATGTAAGCCCCGCCCCCACCCAACGTGAAACCCCGCCCCCTCTAACATGTGGCCCCGACCCCATCCTATATATCGTCCCACCCCGTAGCGTTGTCCTCTAAATGCCCCCGATAACAGAGTCCTGCAGGAATGTCGAACTCTCTGGTCCAATGGGATTTCTCCATGTGATTTTGGATTATGGCAGAAGCAAACAAACGTTCATGATTTTTACACGTTTAGTTCAGCAGGATAATCTCCACATATTAACACCACTTAATGATTTCTGAAGTAAAAAGCTAACGTTAAGCTATAAAGGAACTACAGCACGGTCACATCACTTCACGTAACCACCGCTAAGCTAAAGGCGGCTAATGTTGGGCTATAAAGGAACTACAGCACGGTCACATGACTTCACGTCACCACCGCTAAGCTAAAGGAGGCTAATGTTGGGTTATAAAGGAACTACAGCACGGTCACATGACTTCACGTCTCCACCGCTAAGCTAAAGGTGGCTAATGTTGGGCTATAAAGGAACTACAGCACGGTCACATGACTTCACGTCTCCACCGCTAAGCTAAAGGTGGCTAATGTTGCTCTATAAAGGAACTACAGCACGGTCACATGACTTCACGTCACCACCGCTAAGCTAAAAGTGGCTAATGTTGGGTTATAAAGGAACTACAGCACGGTCACATGACTTCACGTCTCCACCGCTAAGCTAAAGGTGGCTAATGTTGGGCTATAAAGGAACTACAGCACGGTCACATGTATTCACGTCACCACCACTAAGCTAAAGGAGGCTAATGTTGGGCTAGAAAGGAACTACAGCACGGTCACATGACTTCATGTCACCACCGCTAAGCTAAAGGAGGCTAACGTTGGGCTTGATGACGTTTAGTCATCTCATTTAGACACCTGTTACTAACCTCTGTTTTTTAAATCCTCCAGTGGGGGATTTACTGACGTATTGTATGTGGTAGGTCAAAGCGTTAAAGTATCTGCAGCTTGTGTTAACCACAGACCTTATTTCAGGATAACAGCCAAAATCACATTCAGGAAACCATTGACCTGCAGACCAGGGGACAGGAAGTGATGAAATGCTGAGTCATGTTTGGGTTTAGGACTCATTCCTGCAGCTCTATAAGAACATCAAAGGTTATTTGGATGCGATTGACAAAGTAAAACGTACAGAAAGAAGATTTAGCACGTAGAGTCAGATCTCTGTGAGAAATCTGCTGAGTGGTGCGTCTCTCTGGTTTCAGATGGAGGTGATCGTGGGTGATTTTGGGATCGTGGTGGTTCCTCGTGATGGAGCAGACACGGAGAAGATCATGAACCACTCGTCCATCCTGCGCAAGTTCAAGGTCAATAACACTGATTCACACACACTCACTGCACACAGGAAACACGCATTTACAGTTATCGTCTTTCTGTTATCAAACTTCATTCATTAAGAAATCAGAATCACGATGGAGTTATTTCTGCATCATTTGTATCCGTTTGTCGTAAGTTAGGCCTATTCCACACAAACACTTTCAGGTCATTGAAAACTGAGCTATTGTGAAACTCTGGCCAGGGGAAAGTTACACAAAATAAAACGTAGACTTGTAGATGCAAAAACTGATTTACAGTTAACACATTTGCGCTGCTATCTCCTTTGTGAGGCTGTGATGCTGACTAACGTACGGAGGTCGACAGATTCAAACTCGCTGCAGCTTCAGAAAGGATGCAGATATAAAAACCCAAATGTTCCTCATGAAGAAACATCTTCAGCAACTTGACAACACATGCAGCGTTTAGAGAACATTCAGCAACTTGAGGAAGCATGCGCAGCGTTTACCAACCGCTGCAAATACAAGACGCTGCTCCAGTGTGAAACCCTCCTGTCTTTTGGTGTGAACACAGTGTTCATCTCTGGTTCCCCCTGAGGTTGTGTCCCCGTGGGAAACAGCATCTCACCTCTCTGTGCTCTGGTTTCAGGACAACATCACGGTGGTGAAAGATGAAATCAGCCACCCGATGTCCATCGTCAGCTCCACCAAGAGCAGGTGGGGTTAACGTCTGAGATGGTGTTGATGTTAGGAAGTTATTACTCTGCTGTCCAAAGCTTCAGAGAGGGTCAATATTGCAGAGGTGGAAAATCATCTTTATTTACAGGTTATTCAGTTTGAGTAAAAACATTTGGTGTCTGAAGTTTTTATTTCACTGAAGGAAAACAGCTGATTCATAACTTTTCTTCCGTAGAGTAATCGCAGTTACAGTTTATAAAGCAAATATTCATTTGACAATAAAAACATTTTACCCAACACAAAAACTGGGGGTGGGGGGACATTTGTAATATTTTGGGGGAAAATCTGTACTTTTTGGAGTAAAAACTCAAGTCTTGGGTGAAAAAAGCTGAATAGTTGGAGAAGAAATGGTCATAATAATATCCATAAAATAAATTATTATTTTTTAGCTATTTCCTGAAAAATAGGTCTAAGAGTTTTCATATTTTTGAGAAAATGCATTAATATTTGGGGGAAAGAAAGTCGTAATAATGAATGAAACACTGAAAACACTGTAAAAGTTGGAGGAAAAGGTAGAAAGCATGTTGTGTAAAATAATCTGTATTAAAACCATCTCCCCCCTCAGACTGGCCCTCCAGCACGGAGACGGCCATGTTGTGGATTACCTGAATCAGCCCGTCATCGACTACATCCTGAAGAGCCAACTCTACATCAACACCTCCGGATAAACAGAGTCCAAAACCACCTCCATCAGAGTCCAAAACCACCTCCATCAGAGTCCAAAACCACCTCCATCAGAGTCCAAAACCACCTCCATCAGAGTCCAAAACCTCCTCCATCAGAGTCCAAAACCTCCTCCATCAGAGTCCAAAACCACCATCAGAGTCCAAAACCTCCATCAGAGTCCAAAACCACCATCAGAGTCCAAAACCACCATCAGAGTCCAAAACCTCCATCAGAGTCCAAAACCTCCTCCATCAGAGTCCAAAACCACCTCCATCAGAGTCCAAAACCACCATCAGAGTCCAAAACCACCATCAGAGTCCAAAACCACCGCTGTTAGAGTCCAAAACCTCCTCCATCAGAGTCCAAAACCACCTCCATCAGAGTCCAAGACCACCATCAGAGTCCAAAACCACCATCAGAGTCCAAAACCTCCATCAGAGTCCAAAACCACCGCCATTAGAGTCCAAAACCTCCTCCATCACAGTCCAAAACCACCGCCATTAGAGTCCAAAACCTCCTCCATCACAGTCCAAAACCACCGCCATTAGAGTCCAAAACCTCCTCCATCACAGTCCAAAACCTCCATCAGAGTCCAAAACCACCTCCATCAGAGTCCAAAACCTCCTCCATCAGAGTCCAAAACCACCTCCACCAGAGTCCAAAACCACCTCCATCAGAGTCCAAAACCTCCTCCATCAGAGTCCAAAACCTCCATCAGAGTCCAAAACCACCATCAGAGTCCAAAACCTCCATGAGAGTCCAAAACCACCGCCATTAGAGTCCAAAACCTCCATCAGAGTCCAAAACCACCTCCATCAGAGTCCAAAACCACCTCCGTCAGAGTCCAAAACCTCCATCAGAGTCCAAAACCACCATCAGAGTCCAAAACCTCCATGAGAGTCCAAAACCACCGCCATTAGAGTCCAAAACCTCCTCCATCAGAGTCCAAAACCACCTCCGTCAGAGTCCAAAACCACCATCAGAGTCCATAACCACCATCAGAGTCCAAAACCTCCATCAGAGTCCAAAACCACCGCCATTAGAGTCCAAAACCTCCTCCATCAGAGTCCAAAACCACCGCCATTAGAGTCCAAAACCTCCTCCATCAGAGTCCAAAACCACCACCATCAGAGTCCAAAACCTCCATCAGAGTCCATAACCTTCATCAGAGTCCAAAACCTCCCTGTGTGTTGTCTGTATTAAAGTCCGGGGGCATGCTCGTTGGAGATGGAAAACTCGTACGCCGATTTGTGAGAAAACCCGACTTTTAAAATGGATTCCATCCTTTTCTCTGTGAATAAACAAGGTCTTAACTCCAAAATAAATCAAACTTGTTTGACTAAATCCGGCTTTACTCGAGATGATTGGAGTTTACTTGGACCAAACTAAAATGTTTAAATGATGCAAAAAAGCAGAAGTATTCTGTTCAACCGGTCTGCAGAGCGTTATCTTAAACGACTTCTAAAATATATCTCGCCTTTGTGAGCAAAGTGTACACGTCGTGTTGTGGACAGAACACAGGGAGAGGCATTCAAAACTAAAAGGTAAACACTGATTTCAAAATGTTCCATAACGACAACATATTTTGGTGAAAAAAGCTGTAAAAATGTATATAATTGGAGCAAAAAGTCCTATTACATGGAGGAAATGTTCGTGAAAAAGTCGGAAAAATGTTGAGGAAAAACTCGTAATAATTTGAGGAATTTTTTTTTACAATTGGAGAAATATGTCGTCAAATAATTGGAAAAAAAGTCGTAATAATTGGAAAAAAAAGTCGTAATAATTGGAGGAAATGTTCGTAAATATTGAAGAAATAATTTCTAAAATAATTTGAAGAACATTTTTTTATAACTGGAGAAAGAAATCGTCAAATATTTGTAGAAAAAACTCGTAATAATTTGAGGAACATTTTTTTACAATTGGAGAAATATGTCGTCAAATAATTGGAAAAAAAGTCGTAATAATTGGAGGAAATGTTCGTAAAATAATTTGAAGAACATTTTTTTATAATTGGAGAAAGAAATCGTCAAATATTTGTAGAAAAAACTCGTAATAATTGGAGAAGAAAGTCGTCAGAATTCAAGTAAACATTCGTTAAGTTGTGAAAGAGTTCAACGCTTCGGGGAAGATGTTTTAATATATGGAGAAAAAAGGTGTTAAAACGACTAAATATCACCGTCATGTTTGGAGACGCTGCAACAGATGGAGAGGAGTTCTGCTGTCGCCGGGGTATTTAGGGATGTTTCTTCTTCATGTGCTCTTATTACGGTATAGACTGCATGCTTAGACATGTTCCCTTTGGCGTGCGTGTTCATCACGGGGAAGAGTGTGACCTGTTGGGAACCTGTTTGCAAAAACAATAAAGAAACAACACAAAAAGAATATAATAATATACAGCTGTTCATTTTCTATTCACTGTATATGAACTGATGCCTCATGAACGCCTCATTTCCTGTGAGTGAGTGAGTGAGTGTG